TATGCCGCCGCTATTCACCGTTTTTTACAACATTGAGGGTGACAACTCATCCTTGAACACTCCTTGCCTTATAAACATAAAGACGATCACCCACGTTGTGGCTTAAATGCAATAGTCTTTGCGATCTACTTAAAATAAATAGCAAAGTAGATTTACATCACTCATTTCATGTGTGACCAAAAGGTCCAAAACTATGTACAATTACTAATGAAAGCAACCTAAAAATCATAAAGCATCTTACAAAACCATCAGAAATTTCATAGTGTCAGCTTAATTAAAAAGTAATGGTAGTACTTGCTCCCAACAAGATAGTAAGTTCAATAAAATAAATTAGATAGTTAATAATAACAATATTAAACAAATATCTAAAGATTTATGGAGAACGAAAGCTTATAAATACACTAAAGTTGATTGCTATCAAATAGCCAAGAAAGGCGGTGAATATTATTCATTCTAGATGGTCATAGTTCTTTTCTCTTTATATTCTTTGTTCGTGACCATATTAAATTATAATATGTGGAAAAATAAAGGGTTTTTATGATATAAGACCCTCAAATCTTCTCTATTTATATATTAGACCACCAAATCTTAGTATTTCTAAATAAGACCACCAAATCCTATTAAGATGTTCCAAAAAGGACTCCTTTGGTTAAATTTAACCTTAATTTGCTAAATTTTTCTATTAATGTTAGAGATGTTTATTTGTGGACCATTGTACTCGTGCTCATACATGATTTATCATATTTATTTGATTTGGTTATTCTCCCCCCCAACTCATTTTTCTCTCACAGACTCCCCACACTCATTGTCTCTCTCCCATCTTTTTCCTTCAATAACTTTTCTCTTTCTCAAACTCGCCGTACCCATTGTCTCTCATTTTCTCTTCCAAATAACTTTCTTTCTCCTCAAGAAAATTGAGTTCTTAACATCTAGCAAGGCTTGACATTTGAGAGGAAAATAGAATAGAAATTAGAGAAAATAGAGAAGAAAGGCATGAGAAACAAAGGTAAAGGGAGATTGAGCTTTGGGCTCCTAATGTTATTATTGTAATTTGATGCATATGGTTAAGGTTCACAATACCTAGGTAAAGAATTTAGATAGAAATTATTCATGGGGTCTTTTTGGAACAACTTATAGGATTTGGGGTTCTTATTTAGAAATATAAAGATTTACCCGGATCTAATATAGAAGTAGAGAAGGTTGGGGATCTTATATCATTACAGCCTAAAAATAAATCAGTTGATAGTATGAAATTTATCAGAATTGTCTTGTTTAGTGAGCTAGGTAAGACATATCGTAGCTAGATGATTTCTAGCTAATAGTTAGCTATTAGTATTATGAAAGCAATGTAGGCAGTCACCTAGATAGCCATCTCAGAGGTCTGTTCTTCCAGACACTTCCATCAGACAATTGCCTAGGGCTAAAATAGGTGTGAGTATGTGTGCCTGTTCACATGTGTATGCGGATGTGCATTGAGGAGAGGGACAAATCCACTACTTGTAATATGATAGCAAAACCTTTGGGTTGCTACAGTAATTTTGAGCCCCATTTCTTTGGGTGACAAGCTTTCCCAACTCAGATCTTATCTAGATTAAAACAAAAAAAAGTGTACCTTACTTCGGCCTTACCGTCTTCGTTAAATGAAAGATGCACCCTACTTTCATTTTTAATTTCAAAAAAGGGTCATCTCCATCTCACCTACCAGCACCCAATTCAAAGAAAACCCGAAACCTAAGAATCCAAATACCCACGACGTTTTCCCCTACCCCTTTTCTTTCCTCATCACTGTCTTCATCCCTCTTAGATTGAAATAAAAATAAACAATCTATGCTCCCTGACATCTCACCTCTTACTTTGGCTCATCATCAGACCATCGACTCAACTTCCAAGTCCTCTTCGAATTTGAGTTAAATGTAACCATCAAATCCCTAACCCTAATCCCCCTCCAAGTAAGAAGAATTCCTAACACCATCAATTCCTCTCCTAAGCATTTAAAGGTGAGGTTTTCTTCCCCTTTCATCTCTCCTCAACCAAGAGAACCCGTCTTCTCTCCTTTACTCTTCTCTCTCCTTAGTGCAAAGCATGAATCTTCTATACATTCTTCCTCTCCCTCTGGAGCCAGCCCTCTCTCTTATTCTCTCTCTCTTCTTCTCTCTCTCTTATTCCCTCTTCTTCTTTCTCTTTCCTCAACTAAAGAGAACCCATCTACTCGCCAATTCGTTCTCCCTCTCCCTCTAGCATCACAAGTGGCCTTCTCTCCCCCCAATCCCCCTCTAATTAGTCTTATGAAATCTCCCTCCGCCCAGTCTCGCCGCCTATTCTTTATCCATCGGCAACTTCGAAATGATTTAAGGTTTTCTTTAATTGATTTATTATGCCCATTTCAAAGTAAATATTATGTTGTAATATTTTTGGATAACAAGTTCATCATTTTGAATAAAAATTCTAACGTTCTCCTTGATTTCATGGAAATTTTAATTTTTTTGTTTAATTTTCTGGTTTTGGTTTAATAAATCCAGTTCTTTATAAAAAGTTCATCTTTTTAATAAAGATTCCAACTTTCTTCTTGATTTCATAAAAATTTTAAAATTTTTTATTTAATTTTGTGATTTTCATTTAATAAATAACAGTTTCTCCTCAAACAAAAAACTTACTATAAGCTCTCTTTTTTTAATAAACTGAACTTGATTGATTTATTCTTGGGTCAGAGCTTATGATTGTACTACTATCATGTTTCAAAGAGTGGAGGCCGATATAAACTTCACTTTGAGTGATGACGAGGATGATCTTACAAACGTGAGTGAGTAGGATTTTTTTGGGTGCTTTGATACATAATTTTGATAATAAGAAATTAATTGATTTTAATGTTCGCAAATGATCAACCTAACAAAGGAGTTTATTCATGTTCTTCCTAGACAAAGTACAGGATTTCGGGGATGCTCTAAATATTGGGGTGTCATGTTATATAAATTTAGAATTATATATCTCATGAAGTCTAATTTGTTCCCCTTGACAGATATGTTTATCTTAGCCTTGACTCATCGATAAGAAGAGTTAGTTCAATTTTTTGGGTGAATTATTGGAATTTAAGTATGGTTTGGTAGATGCACAATTTGATATTTTGCTTGATAGTAATTTTAATTATTATTGTTCGCGCAAAAGTTAGTTCATTAGTGAGATTCAGGGATGCATGCCTTAAATACCATGAGAATTAACTCTTATATATGTGTTTTATTGATGGGAGAAATATTTCCATCATTGAAATTGATATCCAGTGGATAACATTTTTTCTACATCTTCATGAGCCATGAAAATTAAAACCTAGGATTTATTTTGTCTACACCTTCATAAAGTAGTTTTCTCTTAAAAAATAAAAGAATCAAGTTGATTTTCCATTTCTTTCACTACATTGTTTATTACTTATTTCTTGGTTTAATTATACATGTATGCGAATTTTTTTGATTTAATCACACATGTATATGAGTTTTTCTATCTATTTCCCTATTTTGAAAAGTTGCAGGTTATAATTTTCTAGGTTTTAAATTTAAACAGGCAGAGATTGTTTGGAAATCACTGGTATGTGTTGAAAATCTTGGATTTTTATTTTTTTATTTTTCTTGATTTGCTGAGGAAAATAAAGAAGGAAATTTGTTGTCAATGCTTGGAAGTTATAAGTAATAAATTTTCTCATTGTTGATTTAAATTTTCATATTCATGGGTTGAGTGATAAAATGATGTTGTGTTACTTGAGTTACAAGTTTGAGTTTACAGAGATATTAATAAAGATAAACCACCGTTTGTTCATGAAAATAAACTCAAATTTAGGTTTTTGTTTGGTTAATTTGAAGTTGTGTTATTTGATTTGTTTTTTCTGGATGATGCAAAATCATGAGTTATTGAAATTAAATATAACCTAGGGTTTAATTTTTAGGAGGCTAAGAGCCCTTGTAAATCACATGTATCGTATTTAAATTCTATGGTTCTTTGATTTTTTTTTCTTGATTTTTCAACGGAATTAAATGGGGACATAAGTTTATTATATTAAATAAATCTTTTTCAAGGGAATTTTAAATGGATCTTTTCAATGCGTTTATGCTCTCAAAAATGTCCTCTGCTGTTAAAAAAAAGATGATATATCATAAGTAAGTAAATCTCAATTGATTCACCTACTATCCATGTTGATTATTAGATCCATTCACTTGAGAATAAGCACAATCTAACATTTGACCTTGCAAGTTTATGTATTTACTTTCAAGTTTAAATTATGTATCTTCCTCTTGTAGAATGTTTATTTACAAACAAAAAATTCAAAAACAAGAATAATAATTGATTAATTGTACACTCTCAACAAGTTGCAATTTACATTAATCTCGAACAAATAATAGCAGATATTACTCATTCTTTGGGTTTTTTTGTTGTTGCCTTGAACATAGGTGCATGTGTCAGTGATAGTCTTTTTTAACAAATGGCAGTAATCTTTATCAAACTTTAAAGTTTAAAATCGATATGGGTTTTGAGTGGAGTATACACACATTTTAATCTTTCCTTGTGTGATTATATATGTGTTCTTTGTTTAGAATCTTCTATTGGTGAGAACTTGAATGGTTGTAAGGGGGTTCACGAACAAGCTTGACGATGTATATTAGAGTTGTGAAGGACACTAGTATTGTTACACTAGCGATTGCGCGCAGTGGTTACAAATTAAACATTTTCATCGTACTTCTATGTGTTGTCAATATCATATAAGTTTTTTATTTCTTTTTCTTGCGACCTTTTTTTAAATTTTTGATAAAACTTCAAAATTTGGAGATTGCAATAGTAAGAACTACCTGAGAGTAGATTAATCTAATCAATTTTCATTCTGTCATTGACTCAAAAAAGGTTCATGAATATCTGCTCTTCACTATTGTTTTAATCCAAAATAATTTACATGAAGCTAAGGTGCCTTTGTTATGTTTTTTGTGTGAACTGTCACAATGTGTTTGATTCCTTATGATCTATCATCTTTCAATTCGTTTAGCAAGATACCTTTTTTGTTGAACAGTGGGGTAGGTAATATAACATTAGGGTGTACAAAAGTGAATTACACTAATAGAGAGGAAGGTAGATCCGTGCTTTGCACGAGCAAAAGACTAGTTACTAAATATAACAAAATACAAAGTTATATAATGTTATTATAGATTTACTATATTATATTAATTATATGTGACAGCTTTACTACGAAATAATGACATGACAAAAGATCGAGTGGAAAATATCTTAATGAAAATTATTTTGTTTCATGTGTGGTTCTGGTGCTAGTTCAAGTTATCGAGCAGAAAAATGGATGAGTGAAACTTCAAGGACTTGTATTTTTATACACATGCAATGAGTTTAATAATTTCATAATTATTGATGTACATCTCATACAGCATTTCTTTTCTGAGGAAAAAAATAATGTCTCATCCAAGGCACAAGGGAAAATGTTATAATGTTTTGAAGCAACTAGCGCTAATCAGGATAAAACCTCACCCCTATTAAAGGAGATTGTATAATAGAAATAAAATTTATTGAACCATGCCCATCCGAACCATGTTTCATTAATGTCGATAAAGTGAATAACTCCAAATTTCTCGCTTTAGTGACAAAATTATGTAGAAAAGTCAGTACTAGCCTTGTACAAGTGAGAAGCCTAACTTGCAATTCATGAAGCTTTGCCATGTCAAAACCACATAGTAGACATGCTATTTTATGTTTCTCTCTTGTATATGTCTTTCATCTTGAAAATCATGTTATATTTTGTTAGGGCTATCTCTATGTAAATATTAGTCTTCCGCAACATGTGTTCTAGTTGAATTCAAACACCACTGGACAAAGCATTAGTAAAAGCTCCTTTCTTATTTAAAAAAAATGTACCAAATGCTAAAATATCAAAATGAAAATCAGGTTACGTTAGAACTCGAACAGTACAACTACCCCTTTCAATTTCTCAAATATCTTTTATGCTTCATAGTGTGATATAACCATTTAGTGGCTAAATGGACGTATTATAGGACTAATGAATATTTAGTGTTCAAGAATTTGTAATATTTATAATTCTTGTAATAAATCAGCCTAAAAGAAGCTCACAAAAATTAAGGAAATTAGTTACAATGTATGTTCAACATCATTGCTTTAAGCCTTCATCAAGAATAATTAGGACCTGTAATCCAATGTTTATAGGACTTGTTTTCAATCAATTGTGCTGTTTCTTTTTTTCTGCAGTTTATTGGAACTTAACATTTTAAAATCTCAGCATGTCAATTTGTTCTACCTCTGTCTCATTTAGATAAATCTACATTACAATATATTCTGATAGAAGACATAAATTTTCATTTTGCTACCCTTTTTATTTCCCGCTTTACATAGTAGCATTGCTCAAAAGAAATAAAGAAAGGAAGAAGCATTAAAGTATGTACTTACCCCTGAATCTGGTGGTCTATCGACGCACCTGGATGCAAGCTGACAGTATGAATCCCAAGAGCCTTAAGTGGCTTACAGAGTGATCTAACCTGGTAATGTGATTTCAAAAAATATTTATTAGCACTTAAATTTTGATTACACACGGGTAATGGTAGTGGAATGTACTATAAAAAGGTTTGATTACACAGACCACCTCTACTATCACATTGTGACAGTTACTAGCACTAAGTCTGATATTAACACATACACCCCCTTAGAGATTTTTTTTGGACCCTTTCACCATCGGGTCTATTTGCCAAAAATCTGAATCAGCCATTCCCCTAAGGGTTAAAAAAAATTCACTCAACAGATGTATCTGCCAATATCAAATTTAAGGGTAACAAGTTCCACAATGTGATACTACAGGGGTCAATGTGAAATAACCCTACAACTAGATTTGAGGGGAAGGGAAAACCTGAAGAGCCCTTTGTCGAGATGGTACAAGAAAGATAAGGAAGGGAGTCGGAATGACTAGTCCCTGTTTCTCCTTCCTTGCAATAATGTCAGAAGCAGTAGAAAGCAACCAAGCAAGCTGCTCTTTTCTTGCACAAACACCTCCTCCACTTGAAGAATCAACCACATTCCAACCCGAAGAGCAACGCCTCCACAACTCAGCACCCCACGAGCTGCTTGCTAGGAGATCATGCTGCTTTCTGGAGACATTACCAACTTCTTCTTCTTCTACATCCTCATCTTGCTTCTCCTTCCAAGAATTCTCTATTGCATTCAGACACAGAGTGAGGAACTTTGGTAGGCATCCATCCTCGAATTTTTCATCAGCGGCTGAAGGCCTTGGTGTTTCTGTATGCTGCTCTTTTTCCTTTTCATTTTCCTTGTCCTTGATATGCTGTACTGCTGAGTTTTTCTTGGGGTTGGATTTGGTTTTGAGTTTGTGGTCTAACTTATTCTTTCTGTCATGCCGGTCATTGAACGGATCTTCAGGAGTTGGAAGGCTGAAGCACATCCCCTGCAGCCACAAGCAAAAGTTAACCGAGGGTAAAAGAAAATATTTTGTCGCTAATGAACAAGATAATGAAGAATTGTTCCAATGTAAGATCCTTGTCATGGTCATTTCCACACGAGACGGGCTAAATTACGAAATTGGTGTTTGTTTGCAATACTCCCCCCTGCCAGTTTTTTATTTTGTGTTGCTCCGGTGACTTTTTGGTATCAAAAATCCACGAAATATGCAATTAGGTATTAATTTTCGCAATCAGCGAAAATCCCGCGTAAAAATTTGGGGCATTTGGGATTAAAAAGCCCCACTATTTTCTCTCGGAGAGTTAGAAAATGAGGGAATTTAGCAAACTAAGGGTTAGTTTAGCTCCGCCCTCTCTCTTCGAAATGCGCCGCGTCATTGAACATAGTCACATTAGGGTTCTAAATCATTGAGAAATAGGAACCTGTGTTACAAAAGGGTTTGGCTATCATATCAAAAGCTAAGAAAGACTGAATAATCCAAACGAACGTGCGGATGGGAGGAGGGGAGCAAGATTCGAATAACCGAAGACACGCAAATACCTCGCAGGTTCGCCTCTTTCCAGACTTCCTTCGTTTCTTGGAGGCGATGATGGAAGCTATGCGAGCGGAGACGGCGGAATCAGAGCTCCGCATCCTCTTGCGGTTGACCTTGTTCTTCTTCCTCCTCACCGCGTCATCGCCTTTCGCCATTACTCACCGGTGCCCGATGAAGACGAAGATGGCGGCGCAGAGGAAAGAGAGAGAGAGAGCGAGAGGAAGCCGTAGCAAAATAACAAGTAGAGTGCCCCCACAAGGAACTGCGGCTGTACATTCTACGAAAACCTACACCCAAAACGATAATAAAATAAAGGGTTATTTGCACTTTGAAACCTTAAGTTTTTTTTGTATAGCAGGTACTTAGATATCTCAAAGTTTACAATGTTTTCAACTTTGATACATCAAAGTTTTCTTCTGATACATCATACATCCATACCTCGAAGTCTATATATTTCTTAACGTTGGTGCCCCATCTTTCCTTTTTGACACCTTGATACCCTAAAGTTGGGGGTATCAAAGTTTAAAAAAAATGTGTAAAGCTTAGAAAATCATGGTTAAAAATGTGTAAACCTTGGAGTATCAAAATGTTAGGAAAAAAACTTGAGATGTTAAAGTAAAAAATGTAAGATTTATATATATGAGTGATAAATGAATATTTTGGGGTATCAAAGTTAGTAAAGATCAATGATGTAAGCACCAGAGCACCCAAGCTCAAATAACCATATGTAGGATAAATTTTTAAAATCAACCCTTTTAGAACTTTATTTTTAAAAATCGACCTATTTATATTTTATTTAGCATTTTCAACCTAGTTTTAGTCAGTTGGCTAAAATTGGGTCGAAAAGGCTAAATAAGTTGTGAAAACTTCACGGGATTTAGAATTCCGTGAAGTTTAATCCTTAATTAGTTAGTGCTAAACAAAGAAGGTTCGCGCAGGTGGTGGTCTGCTGCCAAACTTCACGGGGTTCTAAGTCCTATGAATTTTATAATAAACAAACTATACAAAATAAGTAATTATGTGTAGTGTGTTTAGTGGTTATAGCATTAGTCTATAAGGCTTGGATAGGTTGCGCAGGGTTCAAATCCCAGCATGCTAAATTTTGTTTATTTTTCAAGAACAAAAATATATGTTGCGCTGAGATTTAAACTCAAAACCACTTGAATAATTGAAATTTAGCTTTCTTTGATCTAGCCACTTGGCCAACTATTGCAATCATGTTAGATTTGAACTTAGAAATTTCCAGGATTCAAAATCCCGTGGAGTTTAGCCTAACTCTAAACTACAACGGATTGAGAATCCAGTGCAGTTTACTTTTTCTGATAAACTACATGAGATTCTAAATCCCGTGAAGTTTTAGCAATTTATTTCGCGTGGAACAAGACACTAACTCTAGACATCAGAGTGGACTAACTCAAAAGGAGTACTACTGCGTTGATTGACTCGACTCTGATAGGAAGCACGACGATTTTTTCATAACTCACATGACTCACATTTTAATGAAGAAAAAGATGACTCAATAAGAACTATCATCCAAAGCTTCAGAAGAGAGGGATGTCCTAAACACAGGTTACACAGTAGAGGGGTATCAAATACACCTATAAATATATTAGAAGGGGGCACACTCTCGTCTAGATAGTAAATGCCGCCTCTCTCACAGCCTGAACCAATCTTCATCCCAGTTTGTAGGTCCTCAAAGACATAATTTGAAGGAAAAAAGTTTATTTTACAATTTTTATTTTTTGTTAATTGGCTAAACGAGAAACTAACGAAAAATTTAGGAACATATAACACATTAGCGAGAGTCAAGGATAGAGTAGTTGAACCACCCCATCACCAAGAACAGGTGTAAAAGAACAATCAGTAATATGGACCGGAGGAAATTTATCTGAAAAAGATAAAGAATGAAAATTCTTTTTATACCTATCATGTGGGATGAAGCTCCTAAATCTAATATCCAGGGTCTATCTGAAAATGCAATATAAACATTTATACCTAAAGATGATGCATGAGTCACAGAATGACTGTTTTGAGTAGACTGAGACAAGAGCTGCATGAATCGCTCATAGTCTACATGTGATATCTGAACAGTAGGGATTTCTGAAGAGGCTGCAGAAGAAGGAAAAGTTATACGAGCAGGTTTGATAGAATCACTAGTAGTCAACTGTGCCTACTCAAACTTGTCGAGCTTCTGCTAGCACTTCTCCGCTATGTGGTTATTCCTCCCACAGCGAGTACATCTACGTCATCCTTTATCAAATCTACTTTTCTTATCACCGTAAGAACCACAGTCCCCCTTGAATCATGACCACAAGCACAACCACATCCTCGCAACATCGAGCAACCATGATAGACTGCTCAACAGATGGTGTAGAGGGTGCACCAGCTCTAGTTAATACACGCATGACCCTGAAGAAGCTAGATGTTAGTGAGAAAACACTATCTCCTCCCAAAATTTTCCCTCGCACCTAAGATGCTAATGACGGATCCAAGCCAAATAGAAACCTCGATACTTGCTAGATCTTGATGATATCCCCTCAGTGTCACTAGATCTGTGATAGCAGGTCGATGCATCTCCAACTCATCTATAAACCCCTTCAACTCCCTATAAAACTTTGGTATAGATTGATCCCTTTGTTGTAGACAAAAAAATTGTGCATATATCTCATAAACTATAGAGACGTTCTTCTTATTTCCATACATCACCTTGAGAATGTCCCATATTTTCTTAGCAGTAGATACGAACATGACACTATTACTGACTCTTTCTTCCATACTATTAAGGAGCCAAGTCATAACGCAATAATCTCCAGAAAGCTAGGCCTTGTATTCAGAGTCTGTAGAAGTAGGTGGATTCTCCAGAAAATACTCCAATTCAGTGTAGAAAATAATGCATTCTGTAGCGTAAAATAGCGCATAGCGGAACGTAGTGCCACCATGTCTCTACGTAGCATTGGAAAAAAAGCACAGAAACCAAATAACATACGCTATTTTACCCATAGCGTACGCTTTGTAACGCATCTTCATAGTGCTCCATAACTTAGGTTAATTTATTAAAGGGCTAGGATTGATTTTTATAAGAATTTTAATGGCTATGATAGAGTTTTTTTCAAATTAATCAGACTTTACATTAAAAAATATTAAAAAGAGATCAAAGAATTACTAATTATTTTTTTCTAATTAACCAGATTTAGAAGTAATAAAAACTAGTACTTTTCTTTCAAAAATAAAAGCTGTAACTTCACTTGGATTACTATTAGACTTTGCTTCTGGAATGATTGTTAAGGCATACATGATTGATTTTGTTGTGAAATTGTGATGATATATTGATTTGTGATAGTATTTTTATGATGATATGTTCAAAAGCCGTGATGATTATTCATATTATTTGACTTTGAATATTATGTATCAATAAAATATTTAAATAATAATACATTATTTAACCTACATTAAGAGTTGCGCTATTTTGCATTTCACGTTAACCGGAGCCTGAAGGTGAGTGTTACGCTATACGTTATCGCTATTTTCAACATTGCTCCAATTTATTCTGAGCATAATAAAAACTCTAAATGCTTATGCCTATAACAAATAATTAGATCCATTTGGTTTCAGTGGTTCCTAAAATAATAATGGGAGTAGATGTCTCCATAACAATAGGAGGGATAGAAGGGGTTAAAAAGCTCGTGATATCTGACATCTCAGCCAACCAAATATTGAGAAATCAACAACCACAACTTAGATCTAGTTTCTAATGAAATCGGCCACAAAATTCGGCCAAAAATAAGTATTATAAATCTAGTTAAAGTATTATAAATCTACAAGAAAAAGCATCAAATTAGTAGAAATCAGAAAACAACAACCAATAGTTATCATCAGGTCAGATCAGATTTGATTTTTCAACCATATTAATAAATCTGATCTGATCTGATTACAATAGCATCAGTGGTAGAAGGCAACAATGTCAATGTTGGATGCTTTGTTCATGAAAATACAATTTTGCCTTTGTGAATAGTCCCACATTGGAAAATGAGATGAATAGTATAGGGTATATAATGGTTCTCTCCTTATTGGGCTTTGAATAGTGTTTTGGGTTTTGTGGGCTTTGCATATCTACCACACATGCGCGCGCATGCCACGCCGCACCGCACACGCACACATTTTTGCTTCTCAAGCTTTTATTTTTGCACGTTTTACACGTTCTGTAACGGCTGCATGCGGGTAACGGAAGCAAGATTTGTGCGTAACGGTCCCTTGGATTCAGCGGGGGTTACACTTCTCCTCACCTATATAAGCAGGCTTGGAGCTCATTCAAAAGCACACCAACGAAGAGAAGAACTTCTAAGATGTCTTCTTTCTCTACTCTCATTTCTCCAAGAAATTTTGGCTACATATTTATATTCCTATTTTTGGGCAACCGTTTTCGTCTGAGCATAAGCTCTGTGACTCACGCCTGAGTGCAGAGGCCGGCCGATTCCGGGGTTTTTACCGCTAGGGGAGAGGGGACAAATTGCGTCAGGGCGATAGGCGGGTCCTTAATCTTCTAGGGTAGTGACATCACGACTACTTCCGATCAGACCTGAATTTTCTAACTCTTTAATTTGTTTTTTATTCTTTTTTTGACAGTAGTCAATAGACAGCATCGGCGGCAATAGATCAAGGTGGTAGCAACGGTGATAGAGGAAGATGAAGACAACGAAGAAGAGGATTGGACATGGCCACCAGAGGGATGATGATGGAGAGAGATTGCATTAAGTACAGATTACTGTTTGTCAATGAATAGTGTCGATGAACATGTCATTTTTTTATTTTTGAAGTTAGGGTTAGTATTCTTTACAAAAACATCGCTCTAATACTATGTTAAAGAAAGGACCCATTAAAAATTATTTATTAGAGCATTAATACAATTATAGGGTTACAATAGGGATACAAGTAAGGTAAGGCAACGATACCCAATAACCCAATACTTAAAAAAACTAATTTAACAGACAAAACAATCTGTGCAACCACGGATGTAATACTTGTATAAGTGGTAAGCATCAAACTGCAACTTTGAGCTTTGTAAGCCAATCAAACAAAATATAAAATATCCACTGTAAAGTTAAATAGCCAACCTAATCAAGTAAAATTAATCAAGTCCATACCATTGTGAATACGTGGGGACCAGTGGCCCACGTGAACGTGTTTCTTCCCACACGTTTCTTTAACTGGCCCACGAACTTGATTTTAACCCCAGGCCCACGAACGTGTTTTCATCAGGCTATATAT